CAGGTTCCCGACTGACACGGGAACTGATGACAACATTACATAATTGTCTACACTTTCAGCACAAACCAAAGAGTAACAAAGATTACTAACTAAAGGACAGAATAACTACTGATTAACAGCAAAATACTAATGTTGATGTCAAAGGCAAATGACTACACACTTTAATGTTTCTTGTTTCCATTTTTTAATATCTTTTTTTAAGATTTAATTTATTTACTTTTAGAGAGAAGGGAAGGAAGGGAGAAAGAGAGGGAGAGAAACATCATGTGCACGAGATACAATACTGATCAGTTGCCTCTTGCACTCTCCCAACTGGGGACCTGTTTGGCAACCCAGGCATGTGCCCTGACGGGAAATCAAACCAGCTACCTTTGGGTTCGTAGGCTGGCACTCACTCCACTGAGCCACACCAGCCAGGGCTAACATCTTTCTTTTAAATAACAGGAATAAATCTCGCTGCTATAGCTCAACGGATTGAGCACGGGCCTGTGAGCTAAAATGTTGCTGGTTTGATTCCCAGTCAGGGGCACATGCCTGGGTTGCTGGCCAGATCCCCAGTAGGGGGCGTGTGAGAGGCAACCACACATTGATGTTTCTCTCCCTCTCTTTCTCCTTCCCTTCCCCTCTCTCTACAAATAAAAAAATAAAGTGAAAAGATAAACAGGAACAAATATTCCCATATATCCCATCAAATAAAATTCACATTTTAACCTTTCTATTCCTTGAAAAGTCAATCCTGAAAGTAAATACAAATTATTCAAAAAGGTGATATATACAGTCCTGACCTTTAAAAAAAACTGACTAGTTACAGAATCATCATGACAACCCCCAAGGGATTTTTCAATGCTAAACCCCCAGCACCTAACACCAAACATGGCACAAAGGGGGAACTCAAACATGTGAGGGGATGAACTGTTACTGAAAGTTTCTGAGCCCTAAGCAGATACCCAGGATTCTGTAAGATTCACTAATGCCGTTAATAAAGTTAGTGTTAAGTCACTGCCCCCTTCTAAAACTCAAAGCTTTTGCAGAGGAAGCTTACATTCTACCATACTTTTCAGTCTTTGCAAGAGTCAATTAAGAACACAAAGTAGCAACATACCCTGTTTCAAGTTACTGCACTCCCTCTGAAAAAGGTAATCTTTGAAAACTCTTGGTATTGTAAATTCCAAAATCTCACACCAATAACAAATACAGAGTATGCCAAGTCCCCATTATTATCAGATCTACTTTTCTGATTTAACCTTGAACATTTCTCTCACTCTATGAGGTCAGATTTTCCTCTCCTCCTTTTACCCCTGAAAATGCACTTGATCCTGTAACACCAAGCACAAGGCCTTCCCAGCCCCTACTTCTTTTGTATATAAACACCCTCGGCCACACACTCTATCAGCTGTTTGGAAGCTCCACCCCTCCTCCTTTTCCGGGTAGTAACAGAGCAGCCAATGAGCTGTGAGAAGCTGTGCCTGCGGCCTTTTGCCTGCAAACGCTTTTCCAAAACAAGCAGCTCCAGCCTTCAGCAGGGGCCACTGGTTCACAGATAAAAGGATCACCAGGCTGTGCAACAGGGTGAGACGAGTAACCCCCACCAACAAGGAAACCCGTGTAATCTGAGCTGTTTGTTCCTCTAGCAGGGAGAACTTAAACCGATCTTCCTTTAGGGCAAATCACGCTTTAAGGTCACCCAAGTCCCAGTTCTCAGACAATCTAAATAAGCAGCAGAGTTTGAGACGGAAACCTCAAAGATCGCCAGGCTGGAAACAGCACAGTATTACTACTCATCTACCTGAGTTTGCAGACAAATGGCCACACTATTCACAACCATTCCACAGGATTTAGGCTAAGTGTAAGTTTTTTGAGTGGGACACACTTTTAACAGGGCCCAAAAAGTCATGTACATCAGTTTCTAAGCTCCTGGAGAGGTTTGCACAACATTCAGCAAAGGATCAGAAGAGAAACAATGAATGAGTCAGAGTTTCAGAACATAATCGCCCAGCAGATTATTAAGTGAATAAGTGAATTGGTGCAAAACACTCACTCCCCATATAACTTGGAAGTCAGCTCTCCTCCTACCAACCCATCACAAAAGAAATAGCACTGACTCCAAACAACCAGAGTCAGTGTCTAGGGAGGTGGTGGAAGGCAGTGGCCAGTTAGTTACACATCCTCTTCTCTCCCTACCCCCACACCGCTACTTTCCTACTATACAGGTTCCCCACCAGGCTGTAAATCCTTGTAGCGTAATTACACTCGGGAGACATCCAAAAATGGGCTGAAACAGGAGATTGCAATGAAACCAGCTATCAGCCTCCACACCAAAGAAATCATCAAGGGACACTAAGGAGCAAAAAAACAAGTACATTCCTTCAGACCTTTTCTACTTCCTCTCCACCATCTTTCATTTTCAACCCCCAGCCCTCTCACACAACTGTACTCATTTTCATAGTGGGTTAGGGAATTTTTTCCTTTTTGCTAACTATACCTTGCTCAATAAACTGTTGGCTCCATTTGGGCCTGCTAACGTGCATTCAACAGAGAAAGGAGGCCACAAAATCTCTCAACCGACAAGACATATGCACACACAAAAGGATGCAGGAAATTTTAACTTCCAAACTATGTTAACCCAGAAAATCAAAAATTTGAAACAAAGATAACCTCTGCCTTTTAAATCCCGAGACTGCTGTTCTCCTATCTCAGAGATCTATGATTTTAAAGCGCCTCTGCTTTCTTTTGTCAGAAAGAAGGAAGGTGGGGAAAGAACAGAAGGCCAATACATCTTAGCCTTTCTTTATCTTCTACTAAAAATAAGCTATGAAATAAGCCACTTAGGGGGAGGAAAAAAAGAAAGACACCCTGCAGTTCTTTGTCTGTTTTCCTCTGCCTCTCCACCCCCCACACCCCGAATCCTAAATGCGGTAATCATTCTAGATGCCACAACTACTAAATGAACAAAAGGCACTATATGGAAAAGGCATCAGGTCAAGTTAGGCCTCACCCTTTATCCTCAATCTTCTAAAAATATATATGTATATAATTTGAGAACCTGACATTGATCAAAAACAGCTGGCATTCTCCCACCCACCCCCATTCTAATTAAACATTAGGTAGAAATTTGCATTAGGTGTGACAGTAACTCTGAATTCAAGATAAAAATAACTCAGATTCTGCCATCATGCCATTTCCTAGTTTCTAAACAAAAATAAAATCTGAAACTGCTTTATGTAAAATGTACACATAGCCACAGTTGCAAGTTTTCCTGAAACCTTATGAAAAGCCAACATTACTGGTATCATTCACACATTTACAAAACTCAATCAGAGCCACAAACAGCTCATAAAGGGTCTCACTTAAGCCTGGACATATGTTTGGTACATAATATACACTTTGGTACTTGTTCCTCTCTCTAATCTCCACTCCCACCTCCCCAAAATTCTAAATTTCAAACCCCAAAACTTCCAAGTCTATCTGTTCCTAATTTCTAGCCAAGTTTTCCTAAGTGAAGAGAAAAACACCTTCTTATTCCTGGAAAGATTATGAAAAGAAAATCACTTGCCCAGGAACTTCCCTCCCATCCCCCGCTTCCAAACCAAATGCAAAAACTACTCGTTTAAAAACTTTAGCAAATTCCATAACTGAGTATTTAGCAACAATCATCGATCTCTATAGAGGTAAAACGTCCAATCGCAAACAGTAACAAATAAAAGGAAGAAAGAAGGAATTCACCTGAAGAATCCAGCCAAACAACTTGAGTTATATAAACAAAACCCTGCAACAGGGGGAAATGGTGGGGGGATGGGGGTAAGACAGAAAGAGAAGCAGGACACAGGACTTTTTAACTGTGTTTCTCACACTAACACTCCCCACCCCTGCTTCCCCCTCTCCCCAGTGATCAGTTGTTCAGAACACTGGGCTCATTTCCTCTCCCCCCTACCCTCTAAATTACCCCTCAAAAAAATTTCTCGATTTGTCACAGGAACCTTCGCGAATTTCTCTAGTTGGTCCTGAAATAATCAGTCTGGACTCCAACCAAAACCACTGCCTGAAGGACTCTTATCAGTTACAGCTTTCCCACTGCTACCTCCCGAGTACATAAACTTGGGGCGAGGGGGGAGGGTAGGAAAATAAAGGGTGTCGTTGCCAATTACTCCCCAAGAACCTTATCTTCATAGAGGGAATTGCCTTTAAGTGGCTAGTACAGGGGCTATTTTGTCAAGGAGATTGTCTTTCTCTTCCTCGCCCCAGCTGTCATATCTACAATATGGAGGGTGGCTTGCTGGAGGGCCTGGGGGTCCTCACCACATACAACCATGGGTAGGACAAGCTTTGTCAGTGGAAAGAAAAACAGTGGGGTTCTTCTAGGGACCAAGGAGCCTTTACCGGGGGTCTCTTATTTAAAACACTCAGAGCTCTTTATCACTTACAAGAGGGGCCCTGAGCAGACTACTCTCTTCCTAATATAGAAAGGAATTAGGGATAAAGGAGGTCACTCGAGATACCCCAGTTCAAGAAGCACTAAGTGGAGGGAATGGAGGCATCTCAAGAAAGGGGGAAAGGCTTCACTCTCGGGAATTTCTATCTCGGGTTCCTAAACCAGAAGCAAACAGGAAAGAGAGACCTTAAAAGGTGGCCTTGGTGAAAAGAGGTGGCTGGTCTTGCCAAAAAAAAAAAAAAAAAAAAAAAATTTAAAGGCTGTCTTGGGAGTCCAAGCGTCGTGGAGGAAAGTCAGGGGCACTGGGGCGGGGGGGGGGGGTGTTGTTGCAGGAAGAGCGAGGAAAAACGCACATTTCGGGGTACTGGAAATAAAGGGGGAGCTGAAAAGGCTCTCGGCTCCTGAGAGGTGCCAAGCAGCCGCCGTAGGCACTGGGGGAAGGGAAGGAAGGGGGAGCCTCGGACAGTGGCCTGGAGTGCCCCAGGGCCCTTGCTTGGGTTTCAGGGGGAGCCCTAGGCATCCCCACACCGCCCCCCGCCTACAGCCCGAATCCTCCCTCCACGAAGGATACAGCTTGACCACGTCCGTGTCCATACGCCTCTTGCCCGGACTGGGGGATGACATGGTGTCGCCGCTGCCTCCCCGTCGCCTGCGCCGCCGCCGCCGCCTCCCTTCCTTCCTCGGCCCGTCTGTCACGGGCCTCGGGCCCCGGCTCTGAGGAGCCCGCGGCCGCGCCGGCTTCTCGGTGGAGGTGGCAACACCCCCGCGGTCCTGTCGGGTCCAGTCAGCCGCCGCCGCCCCCCGCACGGGGGAACACCGAGCACTGTCCGGCCGAGTGGGGGTGGGGACCCGCGGCGCCCGGCTCGGGTTGCCCCTCTCCGGTTGTAGGTTCCTTCGCGGCCCGGCCCCGGCGCTACTCTGCGCCGCGCAACGCTCCCTCCTGCCTGCTCTAGCTCGCTCGTCTGCTCGCCTGCTCACCCCCTCGCCGGCTCCCTAGCAGCCTCCACGACCAGCGGACGATTCCAGCTAAGTCGGCCTCCCTACCCCAGCCTCGCTCTGGGCGCCGTGATGTCACCTCTGTGACGTCATCGGTGGGGGCGGGTCCAGCAGGCAAAAGGGGTGGGCGCCGCCGTGGCGTGTCTTTCCCGGGGTATTCTGGGAGGTGTAGTTCCTCTTTCTCCTGCCTTCACAGCCCTGTCCCCCTCCCCCTACTGACCTACACACTTAATCGCTCGACTGCCAGTGTCGTTATCATCATCGTAAACGATAATAGTAACTAACAGAAATAATGCATTCATGTGTTTTAGGGTAATGAATCTCTTTGTCATATACACTATTAAAAAGGATGTGTATTTGATTTGAGGAGGCCAAGGTGGCAATTACTCAGGCACCAAAATCTGGAAAATTCCCATACCAGCAGGATCCCCGCACTCTGCTCCCTCCTTGGATGGAGAGAATTTGTTTGTAGCGATTGTAGACTATAGCAAGGCTTCCTCAGAGCTTGCAAATCAGAGTTCATTATCCTCCATACGTATAGGACAACTATTTCAAAGATTAGAGTTGAGGCAGAAAGGTGACAAGGCCCAAAATAATGCTGCACTCACATCCTTACTCTACAGAGTATGAGGTAATTTTACAAAGTGAATGACTTTTAGAAGCAGAAACACCTTAAATATGCTGTAGTTCAGGACAAAGATCGTCTGCTCTCCAAACTCCTATACCAACCCTATGTACTCTGTCATTCACTCAATAAAGATTTATTGAGCACCTACTGTATGCCAACCACTGTGCTGGACATAAGGATATCATGGTAAACAAAGAATCAGTTTACACAGCCCCTCAATGTAGTCTGGATCTAGAGTGTCAGCATCACCTGGGAACTTGTTAGAAATGCAGGCTAGAGCTTCACATCACACATACTGAATTAGAACGTGCAGTTTAACAAGGTCCCCAGGTGATTTTTATGCTCAGTGAAGTCTGAGAGACACTACTCAACAAGCCACTCCAAAAAAAAAAGTGATTTGGAACCCAGGAGTCAACCAGGCAAAGGGGGTAGGAAATACAGTTCTAGACATTTCTCTCTCTCTCTCTCTCTCTCTCTCTATATATATATATATATATAATATCACTTTTTCATTGCCATCACTTTTCAAAATTTTGTATCTATGAATCCACTTGTGTTTTGTCAACCTCACACACACACACACACACACCCCTGAGGCAGCAGCAATCAGCTAAAGTTGAAAGTTGTTGGCTCCTATCATTACATCCCTCAAAAAAAAACTGGCTAATTTGTGTGTGCGTGCTAAATATACATAACATAAAGCTTGCCATTTTCACCATTTTAAAGTGTACAATTCAGTGGTACTGAACACACTCACTGTGTTGTGCAATCATCACACTACCCATCTCCAGAACTTTTTCATCATCCCCAAACAGAAACTCTGTACCCATCGAACAGTAACTCCTCATTCATCCTCCACACCCCCGACCCCTAGTAACCTCTGCTCTACTTTCTGAAAAAGAGGGGCTATTTTGATTTCTTCTAAAAGGGGTGCATTATTCATTCCTAGTGCACACAGCAATTCTATAAGAAGGAGGACATGCCTGAAGAAAGGGATTTCTAACCCCCTTTATATGACCACTTTGTTAGAGGAAGGTAAGGATGGAGAAGAAAATTGCTCCAGACTGTGTCTTCTCTTGGTTCTTCAGACTCCTGTTGCTGCTACCTCCTCTCCCAACATGACTCCCCTCTCCTTCACCTGAGTAACTCCCATGATGAGACAGTGCTTCTCAAGCTTTGGTGTACTTCGGAGTCACCTGGGGAGCTTGTTAAGTTCACAAATGTCCAGGCCCCACCCCTGGGGATTCTGATTCAGAAGGTCTAAGTGGGGCTTGGATGTCCGTGTCTTTAACAAGCTCCCCAGATGACTCCGCATTCTGATGCAGACCAAAGTTTGAGAACCACTGCTTGAAGATTCCAATAGGTATCGGCACTTTCAAAACATCTGCCTGACCCCTTGAGGTGGGTGGGTCCTGGGCTTCCATAATGTCCTGTGCAAATAAGGATATTTCCCACCCACCTGAGTGCAAGATGGCATGCTTAGAGGACCCAAAGGTATTGTTTCCAGAACAGAAAGAACTGGTTGAAGATGGGACACTGAGAAAGAATGGCATGAGGTGCATCTAGGAATTTTCCCTGGTGCTTTACTCTTCACAGATGCTATGCTAATTGTCTAGTTGGAGAAGCTTGTTCTGGACAACACTGGAGAAGGTAGGGCTGCTCTACCTGGAAACGCAGTGGAGACCTGGCCATCTGAGCAGAAAAGGAATCACCCTCCATAGTGTGTCTAGTAAGTATCATAGCTCTGGGTTACTTAGGACAAAGCTGCCCCTCCCCGGCTCCTAATTATGCCTCAGTTAATTGCATATATCCTCCTGGAGCCTCAATTTTCTCATCTGTAAAATGTGGCTCATAACCTGAGTGGGCTGTTGGAGGAAATGGAAAAGATGAATGGGAAAGCCCCTTGTAAACTATAAACTGCTTTTCATAAAGTTAACGTGAAGTGTTCATTACAAGGTGTAATATGATATTGGTGGTGACATTATTGTACCATTAATATCAACCCCCCACTTGCCCCACACCTTATTATACACTGTACATCATTTTAAGGAAAAGGGCATTCACTTTTGGGAGGGGGTACTTTTAAAAAGATGTCACACAATCAGTTTCTTCTCTTTGCAGTGAAGATATGTTCACATTTTAACGATATGCCTTTCCTCTCTGGGCCTTCTGGCCATTTGCTCCTTCCTAAATCCATCTTCCCTCTTCTGCTGTCCTCTCCCTGCTCCACAGCCCCCCTTCTCTGTTGCAACCTCCACTCCTCTTTCCAGAGCATGAGGACTCCTGAAACCTGCCTTTGACCACGTAGGTTCAAGAGGTGGCTCTAAATGGTGCCAAATAACAGCCCTGGTTTTACTTATTACTGGCTCCTGAAACCCGGAGCTTATCTTGAGCAGAGTTAGTTAGCGCTCACCTTTTTCCCCCAATGTTTAGCCATCCCGAATGTCAATAATTTACTCTTAAGACAACACTGGGGCCTGGGAGTGTCTATTTGTAAGTGTCTGCACACCCAGCAGCACGCTGGCATGAGCCATGTTCTTCCTTATCAGGAGCAACCAGGGGCACTGTGAGGGAGCAGCTGTCCAACCCCGCCTGACTCACCAGCGTTGCAATCTGTTTATATCTCCCCCGGGCAGGGCCAAGCTTGACCAGTGGAGCCTCCGGATCTCAGGAACAGCTTCTTAAAGGCATGAAAATAAGTTTGGAGAGAATGTAAAGCTTTGAGCAAGACGCTAAGAGGGAGTAAGATGAAAGCAGTCATTTGGTGGAGTGAGTGGGAGAGCCCAGCCCTGAAGCTGCTCCATCTCTGAAGGTACCTGTTAATCCGACCGCACTAGAACCAAAGTAAATGTATCACTGTCCTCACCCGAAATGAAAATCCTCCAAATAAGACCTTCTGATTCCATTTGACAATTTCTTTTTTTTTAATTTTTTTATTGTTGTTAGCGTACAGCTGTCTCCATTTTCCCACCATCACTTTCCCCCTCCCCAACTACCCCCACCTCCCACCCTCAATCCTACCCCCGTTTGACAATATCTAGTGGGAAATAGGTTCATTTGAGCTGGCGTTCTTGGAATCTGAGATCATGGGCACAGACCCCTCTGAGGGCAATAATAGTAGCAGTTTCCTTGCTGCTATGGAAATAAAAGCTTAAAAATCATTTCAAGCTTCAAACGCACTTCAAGTTATCTCTGTATAACCATGTTACAATCTGTCCCTGCAGAAGCAGTCATTGGGAGCGCAGAAACATGTAGGCCAACAGCAGCAAGGACACAAAGATTTCATCTCCTGCTTCACTGTCCTTCCCACAATGCCTTTGCTACCTCTGCAACATGCTCCTAGGGCAGACACCAGCCCCCAAGGCAGCGCAGTTCAGTGAGGGCTGGACACTCGGAGGCAGGTGCCTCCCTCCTTTCAGTCCCGGGTCTGCTACCTCTTACTGATGTGTGGGCAAACCTCAGAGACATCGTGAGTTCAGTTCCAGACCACCGCAAAAAAGGGAGGATCACGGTAAAGCAAGTTGTCATCTTTTTGCTGATGGAGGGTCTTGCCTTTAATTTGTAAACAAACAAACAAAAAAGAGCTACATCTGTGTAGCACAATAAAGTGAAACACAATAAAATGAAGTATGCCTGTAATTTGGGCAAGAAACCTAACCTTTGTGCCTCGGTTCACTCATCTGTGAGATGAGATGACGGCAGCTACACTACCTTTGCCTCAAACAAGCAAAAGAGATGTTGCAACCTCCCAAGTGCTAGTCACATGTAAGATGTCATCACATCTCCCCACACATACACACATACACACACGTGTGTCTACACATGCACCCAGCTTCCTTTCTAATGCCCAGGCTCAAGAAAGGAGAATGGTTGGAAATTATTCACACCTACATCCAGAGCCTTCACCTGGGCCATCTCCCCTGTCTGGAGCCCTTGTCTTGCCAGTCATGGCCACCTGTGTTTCCTTTGCTGCTTCTTCCTCATTTCGCTGATCTGGAAACGCTGGCAGCCCCAGGCTCAGTCCCTGGGGGCTCTGTTCTTCATTATGTACATTTAATTCCTGGGTGACCTCATCCAGTCTCAGAGCTTAAACTGCCATCTATACTCCGACTCCCTAATGTGTCTTTCTGAGTGGGACCTTGTCCCTGAACTCCAGACACATACGTACTGCTGCCCATGAGACGTTTTGTCATGTCCAAAAATAAACTTCCACACCCCAGCCCAGTAACTCAGTTGGTTAGAGCTTCATCCCAGTATGTTCTCCGGGGTTGCTGGTTCGATACCTGGTCAGGGCACATACGAGAATCAACCAATGAATATGTAAATAAGTGAAATAACGAATTGACGTTCTCTCTCTCTCTCTCTCAACTCAATAAATAAAAATGAAAGAAACAAAAACTTCTGACACCTTCTCCACCTCTTTCTCACAAATTTTTTTTTTTACCC